GCTGCTAACCAAAAGGTCAGCAGTTCTAATCCACCAGCCACTCCTTGGAAACCCTATGGGGCAGTTCTACTCTGTCCTATAGGGTCGCTATGAGTCGGAATCGACTGGACAGCAATGGGTTTTTTCTCTTTTAGAGGAAGAAGGCACAAGTTCCCATCCAACATAAGGGGGAATGCTAAGGTTCTTGGAAGGGCAGAGATTCTAGAACAATCTCTACATAAATCCTGCTTAGTGAAGTAACGTGATAAGATTGGCTTACACTGTAACTTGTGGGTCTTGGGAGCTTAGTGTCCTCATGCAGAATTCGTATCAGCTACTTAGATGCATGCTCATACTTCTTTGAAAAGTTTTCTAAAAATCTGACTGAAAACAGCTGTAAATAATGGTTTTAAGAAGTAATGAATTTTTTAAAACAAAGAGGAAGAAGAAGAAATAATGAAGACAGTTAAGATTTGTTTTTTGATTTATACCTAGACCAAGACCAAAAAGCTGGTACAATCCATTCCGGTTGTTCTGCTGTCATACCCTCCTATAATATAGTATCCCAGTGGTTCTCAAAGTATGAATTTCAGAGCAGCAGTAACACTAAAACTTGTAAGAAATACAAATTTATTGGGTCCCACCCTGGCCCTGCTGGATCAGAAAAGCCAAGAGTCAGTCCAGGAATCTGTTTCAACAAGCCCTCTCAGTGAGTCCGATGTTCACTCAAATTTGAGAACCACGGCTTTAGTCTTTGAGATCAACACTAGAAAAAAATCTATACAGGGGAGGAGTCACTATCAAAAAAAGATCTCAGTTTATTAGCAACAGCCTACTATAGATTTTTAAAAGCAGTGTTTGCTCAGAATGATATTCAATTAATTATTTCTATTAACTAGTCACCTTCTCTCATCAAACACTGAGAGGAATGGCATATAGAAAAACAACTACAACAAAACAAAAAATGACTATGATGACACTGGGTACAGAATAAGACCAGCCTGGTCCAGCATCGTCCTGGCAACCTACTGTACCTTGGCAAGGGTAAACTAGCTCTGTAGCTACCATCTCCATGCCATCTTCTCAGGGTCGTTCAACAACCACTGTACGTATGACAGGAGCTCTATGTCACAGACTCCAAAATGAAAATTACTAAAACAATAAACAATCTTAAATATTTTATTCAAACATTTTTAATCCAGAGACTACAGTCGTTTCATAGGTTGAATTTTACAGCACCATAATGTGGCACAAGCCTCATACATGTTATCCACCTCTGGGTGACATTCACAATAATCTACAAAGTCAACTTGTTTTCTGACCTGTTTTAATTAATCATAATACTACTATGGAGGAAGCTGAAATGGGGGTGAAGGAAGATGGGGGACAAGCAAAAAAAGTTACCCAAAGTTTCTGGAATGTTTCTTCTCTCTCTAGTTACATCTGACAGCCTAATAATTGTTCCTTCTTTTCTTTCAGTTTTGAAACGTAATCTCCCAGATTCTTCATCATCATCATCTTCTTCATCTGATTCTTCTTTTACTTCCTTCTGGAGTTCCAAAGTTTCCATACTTCCCTACATTATAAAGCAGACATACAAAACAAAAAGGGAGGGAGAATAAGTTCATATTTTTTTCAATTAAATATTGAAGAATGCTAAAATATTTTTTGTTTACATTGTTTATATTATATTAAGATGTAAACATATTGGATCTTTTCCTACTAAAAGGCCATGTGGAACACTAAGGTGGCTCCAGAAAAAATAATCACAAACACTGAAAATTAATGTAATATTAAAAAAAACTTCAAATACCTTCTTACAGTTAATATATGAAGTCCTATACATTGCTGCTACTTATACTTCTGAGAGAACAAACATAAATAAAACTAAAGGTAATAAAGAATTCCAAAAATTCCAGATTACAGCAAAGTTCACTATTGTAATTAAAGTAATACTAGAGCTATATGAGTTTACTACCATATAACCCATCTTGCAACTTATATTAGATGACATCATATTCCTTCAAGTGATACAGGCTCAAAATTTAAAGTTATTCCTTATCCAACTATTCTCTGACCCTCACTGCAAAGAAAATGATCAAAATGTGTTGTCCTCCCCCTACCACGCCCAGCCTCCACAATCTTTCTTTCAGCACTCTCACTTCTTTCTACTTCATCCCCATTGTTTAGAGTTCACTGATAACTACTCTGGCCTAGACGACTGAAATAGCAAAACTATTTTTTCTTCAGTCACTTCCTCCTGCTAAAACAAGCTTTTATTTTAAATTTATTATATCAATACGTGCCATAAAATTTTCCCTAACCTAGCCCCAAACTAAAAGCAATTTCTTCATCAAAAATTCTACTGCACAGTATCACTCAAGTTCCTTTTTGACACTGATCACTTTTCATGTATTATGTCTTAGTTACAGACTGATGGGTACCTACTCCACATGCAAAAGAATGAAGCTGAACCCATACCTCACACCATATACAAAAATTAATTCAATAGAGATTAATGACATAAACGTAAGAACTAAAACCATAAAACTGTGAGAGAAAAACATGGGGCAAAGCTTACAGACTGCTTTCAACAACAGCGTCTTAGATATAACACTAAAAGCATGAGCCACGACAGTCAAAATAGACAAACTAGACTTCATTAAAATCAGAAACTCCTGATAAAATGAATTTATCAAGAAAGTGAAGAGACAACTCACAGAATGGGAGAAAATATTTGGTAACCATATACCTGATAAGGGCTTAATATCCAGAATATATAAAGAACTCCTACAACTCAACAAAAAAACAACCCAATTAAAAAATGGGCAAAGGACTTAAATAGACATTTCTCTAAAGAACATATACAAATGGTCAGTAAGTACATGAAGATGCTCAATGCCATTAATCACTACAGAAATCCAAATCAAAACCACAATTAAGATACCACTTCCCACCCACTGTTGTTGTTGTTACTAGGTGTCGTCAAGTCAATTTCAACTCATAGTGACCCCATGTGATAGAGTAGATCTGCTCCATAGAATTTCCTTGGCTGTAATCTTTACAGAAGCAGATTGCCAGTTCTTTCTTCTGTCAAGCCGCTGCATGGGTTCAAACAGCCATCCTTTCAGTTAGCATACACTAGGTTGGCTAATACTAGGGGGAAAAAAAAAATGAGTGCTTGCGATGATGTGGAGAAATTTAAATCCTCATCCATTGCTGGTGGGAATGTAAAATGATGTAGTCACTGTGGAAAACAGTTTAGTGGTTCCTCAAAAAGTTAAACATAGAACTACCATATGACCCAGAATTTTACCCCTAGATATATACCCCAAAGAATTGAAAACGGGAACTCAAGCAGATACTTACACTAATGTTCACTGAAACTTTACTCACAAAACTAAAAGGTGGTAACAACCCAAGTGTCCATCAAACAGATGAACGGATAAACAAAATGTGGTACAACTATATAATGGAATAATTCAGTCACAAAGAGAAATGAAGTTCTGATACAGACTATGATATGGATGAACCTTGAAAATAATGCTGAGTAAAATAAGTCAGACACAAAAGGGCAAATATTACATGAAATATCTAGACAGAAAATAATGGAGTTTCTGTTTAGAGCGATCAAAAATCTGAAAATGGGTAGTGGTGATGGCTACACAACATGGTGAATGTAATTAATGACACTGAATTGCACACTTAAAAATGGTTAAGATGGCAAATGTTTTGTTATATATCTTTTACCACAGTAATTTTTTTAAAAAGGACAGATACTACTGAGTGCTTAGTTCATTTAAATGCTTTTTGTAAATTTAAAGAAAATAGAATTTGCCCTTTTATTCTCATTAGTCATAATTTTTAAATGTTCTTCAAAATGTATAATAAAAACAAAACAAAATGGAATTACTTCATAAGAAAAACATTAAAATTAACCAATGGGAGGACTATTTTGTATTCTTCCTTTCCTGAACATTTTCTATGTAAAAAGATCAACTACAAACCCACATACTCCTGACTATAAACTCTACATGTGGAGATGCATCCTTAGGAGCTCAAATGCTTGAAAATAAGAGGATAAATAGAAACTAAAACTTTAAGTCTAATGATTGCAATACACGCTTTCAGTATTCTGATATTCAGTATACAACAGAATTTTAAAGTACCAAAATCTTCACATTTTTGTTTGCTTAATATCATTATTTCAGCATTACTGAATATCTGAAATCTGAATGACTGACATATGTGGTACATGTTGCACTATAATTTCAAATCAAACACAGGTAAACTCATTTAGAAAGTACTCTTCTCTGCTTCCGGCTGCTAATCAAAAGGTTGGCAGTTTGAACCCAGAGGCTCCGAGGAAGAAAGACCTAGCAATCTGCTTCCGTAAAGATTACAGCCAAGAAAATCTTACGGGGCAATTCTACTCTGCCACATGGGGTTGTTATGAGTTGGAATCCACTCGCTGGCACTCAACAACAACAACCACCACTGCCATAATTATCTAAAGCAGTGCTTCTCAGACTTTAATGTTTATACCAATCACCTGAAAACCTTGTTAAACTAAAACACACATTTTGATTCCGCAGGTTCAGGGCGAGGCCTGAGATTCTGTGTCTCTAACAAGCTCCCAAGTCCATTGCTGCTAGTCCACAGACCACACTTTAAATAACAAGGTCACAAGGGAAGAAAATAAGTAACAATCAACAAAGCAAAAATTCTATTACCGCAATCATTTCGAATTTAATTAACAATAATTACAGTTCAAAGACCTCTCAAACAAGCTTAATATAAAACATGACAATAATGAAATCAATATGGTTTATTCTCCATTCAAATCTCCATCTAATAAAACTAACTAAAAACCAACCAAACCCGCTGCCGTTGAGTCGGCTCTGACTCATAGTGACCCTACAGGACAGAGCAGAACTGCCCCCAAAGGATTTCCAAGGAGCGGCTGGTGGATTCAAACTACCAACCTCTTGGTTAGCAGCTGAACGCTTAACAACTGCACCACGAGGGCTCCAATGAAACTAAAGAGGACAAAAATGAGATGAAAATTGTTTCTTTGGAACAAATACTACAGTCTACCACTGATTTAAAAAATCTTTGACCCAGCAATTCTATACCTAGATGTTAACCCTAAAGAAATAAAAACTTAAGTTCACAAAAAAAAAAAAAAAAAAAAACCCAAACTATAAGACAATATTTACAGCTCTATTTAGAATCACCAAAACCGGAAACAAACCCCAGTTCTTTCAGTAAGTGGATATACAGATAAACTGTGGTACACTCATACAAGAGGATCCCAAGCAGCAAAAAGAAGAAACTACTGAACAACTTGGATGAATCGCAAAGGCATTAACCTGACTAAAAGGAGTCAATCTCAAAAGCTTACATACCCTACGATTCCATTTATATGAGATTCTCGAAGAGACAGTATTATAGCGGTTGCCAGGGGTTAGGAATAGAGGGAGGGTGATATTACAAAAGGATAGCACAAGGTAGTTTTTTTTTTTTTTTTTTGAGTGACAGAACTGTCCTAGAATACAAGTCTTTGTACCCAGTCAAGTCTTAAAATACATCAAGCATTACTACATAAGCCCGGAACTGAATGAGAAGCATAGCTGACACCACCTGCCCCAATTGTAGGCCACCGGACAACATTCACTAAGCTAGACTCATTCCTGAAGCCATTAGTTAGTATCTCTTATTACAAATACTGAGTTCAAAAAAATTTATCTCACTTGGCCACCATATGGTTAATATAATTAACTAATCCTATCTGCCAAAGGAGCCTTGGTGGTGCCGTGGTTAAGAGCTACAGCTACTAATCAGAAGGTTGGCAGTTCGAATCCACCAGTTCCTTGGAAACCCTATGGGGCAGTTCTACTCTGTCCTATAGCGTTGCTATGAGTCAGAATTGACTCAATGGCAACAGGTTTTGTTGTTGTTTGTTTTATCTTAGCCAAAATGTTGACTTTCTATGTAATTTTTAACAAATGCTAAGTAGCATTCCAATTACAAATAAAATTCCACTGAAGGTCAGTGTTCGGTTACAATATAGGAAAATAAATTATTCTATCTAAAGTCTATATGGCATGTGAATTTAAAACTTATATTTAAGTCTTTTATTTCATTTTAGACATTGCCAAAAATGTTCAAAGGTCTGATTTTTAGCAAATTATCTATTTTGAAAATCTGAAAGAATTATTCATAATTCTTAATAGAGGATAAATATGACTATCACCAGGATTCTTGAAACGCAGACAGGTCCATCTAGGACTGATAATATAATTAGAAATTCTAAGAGGGAGCAAGACCCAGACTCGTATATTTTTTTAAAGTTCTCCGGCGAATTCTGAAATAAACCTGTGATTTCAGTGTGTTAAAATTCAATATTCAGTCCCAAAATCTGAACAGAAGCATTGACTACTTTTCTGAAACAGAAAACAAAAACTACAAAACACACTAGTTATAAAAAAGGTTCCTAAAGTTTTTAATGCTTATTTATAGAAAGGATAATGGATAGAGAATCATTTTATTTATCATCAAATAAAAATCAAAGTA